CCCACGCCGGCGAAGAGACTGCTCTGCGCGGTTGAGATGAGCTCGGACGAGTTGGACGCAGCTACATGGCTCGTCAACGATGATGTAAGGGATAAGACCGTACCAGAGCTCTTGCGGTACATGGCAGGCTTGTGGACAGGCGAAGCGGCCGGCGACGAGCTGGGTGACGCCTCGTGCTGCGCCAAGGAGCCCTCCGTGAGCGTGGTGGTCGTCGACATTGCCCGCGTCTTGCGGGGCATGCTCGACGACTCGATGGCGACGTAGACCGTCGACTGGATCTTGAAGAGCCTAGATTGTTGTCAGAGGCGAAAGCCATGCAGGCGAAGCGCGTACAGCTTGTCAAAGATGGGGCCGAGCGACCGCTGCTCGGCGACGACGAGGATCGAGGCCGAGACGGGCAGGATCATAAAGAAAATGGTCTCCACGTACGTGAAGGCAAGGACGACGCGCATCCAGAACATGCCGAAGACAGCGCCCATGGCGATGCCACAGCTGTGGCCGAGCGAGAGCGCGCCGACGTCTTTGGCTCGCCGCCCCATTTTCACTTGCGCAAGCAAAACTGATACACGGCAACCGGATACACTCGCTTGTCCGGTTGACGAAATGCGTAATCGAGGCAGTGTGGGCGCTTATTTTCGGCATTGGCCGAACACACCGGTGCTCGGCACCAGGATTGCGGAGGCTGCGTCTTCAATCATCATGCTCTCTTGCGACGGCACATGCGTCCCATAGTACTGTAGCATGATGTGCTTACTACAAATACTCAGTACGAATGAATTAATGCGTCGACCGTGCTGGCTCGATCTGCACCGCGTCTCTTGTTCATGGCATATGCCGATTATTAGACAATGGGTGACTCATGGTATCCAGGTCTTGGACATCCCGGCGCTGCTGCTGCTGCTGCCAGCACATGAGAAGACGTCATGCATCCCGTAGCGCCTCCCTCTCTTGCGTACGATCAGCAATCACGCTGGCACTTAGACACTTTGGTTCCTGGCTGGCATTCCGGTCTTTCCTGCATCCATTGCAAATTACAGTGTTTTCCAAACAGAATATGGTTACACTGCCCATGCGCTTGGCGTGCTCAAGGTCGTACGGGGTCGCCGCTGTGGTCGCGCTGCATGGCCTTCACTATGGCACGTGCGGTCCAAGATTTCCAACATACCCGTTTAGGTCATTCGCGTCATGGTGCACGTCGTGCATGGAAGCCGCATCGACGCTCAATAGCGTTCTGTAGCGTGCCTTTAGATACAGATATTTAGCGCTTATCTACGCGTCGATGAGGAGGTAGTTCGACTACTCGGTTGTATGCCTTCTTTAACGCAATGATTCGAGCTTCAAATGGTCCAGTAGTAGTCTAAGAACACCCAGCGTTGTTCGTCGGAGCCTTGGATGCACTCTTCAAGTGGCTCTTGCTCACCCATCCGGCGCTAGCAAGGTAGGATTGCTTGAGACTCTGGATATGCATTCTGTGCCTCTGGACGAAGGTCGCGAGGCGCCGACCACTCCACCGTCATCTTTCCTGCGGCGTTTCATGACTCGGACGTGATGCCCGCGGACGCCTTCCCGCCCTTCGTGCTAATATCCTCCCGAAGGATGTCCGGGTGCGTCGACCTGTACTAGTTCCATTCATTCTTCTCTCATGACGATGGACGTGTGTAGGCGTTCAAGGAGCGCCAACTCGACGAGGGAGACGTTCGTTCAAAAGGAACGCGGTGATTTGAGGGTCTCAGGCGTTTTAGTGCGTAGATCTGCAGTCGCATCGCCAGTCGCAAAGCCCGCGTCGCATGGCTTTATGGACCAAGCGACGATGGCAAGACACAACTTGCATGCAGCGCTGCCCGCGCCTTGCAGCTCACCCGTGTCTTTGCGCGCGGGCAGCGCTGCATGCAAGTTGTGTCTTGCCACCGTTGCACGGCCCATGCGCAGCTCACTCCCAACGACCAAGTGCTGGTGCCAACTCCCACGCATTCAGGCGTACTAAGTAGTACTACGTATGTGAAGTCTTTGAGTTAATTTATACTAAATTAATTTCAACGCGAACACATTTGATTGATTGATCGCCGAGATGTGCCCTGGCGTCGCAAACGACGTCGCCTCGATACGCTCAAGCTCCAAGTGGACGCTTGGGTCGCGGCAACCGCCTCAGGTTTGAATGGAAGTAGCGGTGAGCAAACTTCGTACTAGTATGTTTCTTACGATTACGACGTCTGACCCCGATGACGCGACGATGATCGATCTCGATGGCGTCGACGCACATCTCGTCGCGTCCATTTTTCTTGTGGCTGGACGACCTTTGCATTGACGAGCAGTACGTCCAGCTTTTGGTCACGTCCCGCGCCGTTGCTTGGCACATCGACGAACTCAAAGCCCCCACGCACGGTGTTGGCGCCAAGCACACGGCACCACCGCCGGCACTTTGAAGCCCGTGACTTGGATGCGACCAACGCCATCGTGAAGATGACGACAGCATTCTGAAGTGTCATAACAACAACAACGTGCGTACAATACCAGAGCGCTGCGCTGGTTCATTCCTCGGGCATGGAGGCATCGTGGTCTGTGGCGCGACCACGACGTCGTCAGCAGCTGTCTCTTTTGCCGGCTTCGTCGGCGCGGGCTTCTTGGCACCATGGCGCTGCGACGGTATCGCTGACGACGTGGTCTCGTCATGTGTCGTTGATTGCGCGTCGACGCCTGTCTGGATTTTGCTCAAAACTACGTTTACAGAGCAATGCAATTAAGCTCGAAGTTAGCAACGATAGCATACTTCTAGTGCAGTCGGGCGTACGGTTCATCGCGTACCACTGGCTCATGGCGCGCAGTGGCACACGACGCATATTCTCTTGCGTACAACCGAATTCTACAATCGACATACAGTGTTTTAAAACAGAATATGACGGGACGTCTATTGTGCAGGATGCGCGGCGGGCATGCGCTTGGCGTACTCTGCCCAGAGCAGATCGCGGATCCGCATGTAATATCTCTTTTCGGCCACGTCAATGCAGTGCTCGAGGTCGCCTTCGCTTCGGTGCGCCAAGAGAAACCGGACAACGTCTTCGCGGCCGTGGTACGTCGCGCCTTCGAGAGCCTTGTCCGTGCAGCCCTCGTGGCGGTGGTGGTGCAGAAAGGCCACGACGTCGAGGTGCCCACCTTCGGCCGCCCCGTCCATCGCGAGCGTCGAGCAGCCTTCCGAACGCGACTCGTGCAAGAAGGTGACCACGTCCAAGTGGCCGCCGATGGCTGCGTAGTCCATCGCAAAGCGCGTGCAGCCTTCCGTGCGCTGCGAATGCAGATACGAGACGACGTTGAGATGGCCGTTGCACGC